GCCGTCATTGTTGTTTGGCGGGTCCGGGCTGGGGATTCGAACCCGCCACCTTAGGTGTACGTGGCTGGCGCCTTAGCCGGTTGAGCTATAGGAGCCGAGCCCCACAGGCCTTTCTTTAAGGCCATCTTGCTTCTTTTTTTGTTCCTTACTCATAGCTACCATATAAAAATGGTTAAACCAAAATGTGTACTTCAAAGGGGGGCTATGGTTGGTGAGATACATTTCTCCCTAGCAGCTAAAGCTGGATAGTTTCTGCGAATTTCCAGTGCCAGCATCTCTGGAAAACATTTCAGAAGGTCAGTTAAAATCCCCACATGAGGTCTGTAAAGATCATAGATTCCACGAGGGGTAGTATCCACACTCAGGTAGCCTATCTGGCATTTTCCTGTGTGTTAGAAACACATACTCCCAGGCCGGGCACAGTGGCTCACGCCTATAATCCTAGCATTCTGGGAAGCTGAGACGGGTGGATTGCTTGAGCTCATGTGTTTGAGACCAGCGTGCCCAAGAGTAAGACCCCTTCTCTAAAAAAATTAGCCAGGCCTTGTGTCAGGTACCTGTGGTTCCAGGACGCTAAGGCAAGAGGATCACTTGAGCTCAAGAGTTGGAGGTTGCTATGAGCTGTGACACAACGGCACTCTACTGAGGGCAATAAAGTAAGATTCAGTCTTAAAAAAAGAAAGAAAGAAACACATGCTCCCTCTAGGAAATCCACCCTCTGGCCTGCATAGGTTGGCATTTAAGTACTAGTTAGATTTTCTCCCTAACATGCCTTGTATTGGTTATCTACTTGCCATAATGCTATGTAACAAACTGTCCCCAAACTCACTGGCACTTACTATTCATGAATCTATGGGTCATTTGGGCAGTTCTCATCTGAGTTGGGCTCAGTGGAGTAACTCCTGCATCTGCAGCCAGCAGGGAGTCAGCTGGGCAGCTTTTCTGATCACACAGAGCTCTCCCATATCTGGGGCCCTGGCTAGGAAAGTTGGGTAGCCTCCTGTGGTCTCTCATTTTACACTCAAATAAATAGCCAGGTGTGTTTACATAATAAATATCAGGCAGCCGTCCAAGAGGACTAACAAGCAAAGACATAAAAGATGGTTTGAGCCTTGGGTTCAGAACTGGCACACCATCCCTTCTGCCACATTCTTATGTCAAAGCAAGTAGCAAAGCCAACCCAAATTCTAGGGGAGGGAAAATGGGCTCCACTCTTGATGGGAGGTGCTGCAAAATCACATTGCACAACATGTGGATTCAGGAATGAATGGAGAATCAGAATAATTTTAGCAATTGTTCTACCACATGCCCCCTTGCCCAGGCACTCTTAGCCTCCTAATATCCCCAGTGGTCCTAGTCCTGCCTGGATCCAGCACAGCTCTGGTTGCTTATCCCCATGTGTCCTCCAGGTAGCATGCTTCTCTCTCTTTTACCTGGAAACCTGTGAGTTACTGACTTCTCTTCCAGAGACTCAGTCCAGTGGGCAGCAGTGGTCTGTGCCTGCCCAGCAACCAATCTTACCCTTCTGCTGGGAAAAGCTCCCTGTTCCTCCCTTGGGACATTAATCTCTCCCCTGCTCCAAGGCCCCAGATTTGTACTGATTGGATAAGGATGGTCTCATGATTCCAGTTGGGTGGCTCAGAGTCACTCTAAGACTCCAGCTGGAACTGTTTGAAAAGGGAGGTTCCCTTTCCCCTGGCATTTCTGGGTGTCTAAAGGGTAAAAACCTGGAGGGGCTTCCAAGACCAGTAGGTGAAGGGTGCTTACCTGGGTGTAAAGCCAATATTTCAGAGAAAAAGAGGAGAGAAGATCACCATATACAGTTTCCTGTCCTTGGATCTGGCCATGCCTGAAATAGACATCTGGACTTGTCAGTCTCCAAGCTAACAAATTCCCACTCCATTTTTTTTCTTTTTTGAGACAGTGTCTCACTCTGTTGCCCAAGGCTAGAGTACCATGGTGTCAGATTAGCTCACAGCAATCTCAGATTCCTGGGTTCAAGTGATCCTCCTGCCTCAACCTCCTGAGTAGGTGGAACTACAGATGCCCACCAAAACGCCCAGCTAATTTTTCTTTTTT